AAGAACTGTCTACACCACACACACATCGGATATAAGTCATTCATATTTGAAAGTATGCTATCGAATTTGCTGAATCTGTCGAAATATAAAAAAAAACCATTGCGCACCCATCCACTCAACTACGTGAGTTAAGTTCATGGGTTATGGAAAAAAAGAGCAAAAAAAAATTTGAGCCTTTTTATCGAAACCAAATCGTTTCACAAAACGGCAACCACATAACTTACATGCGCATCGTCATTCTCATCAACGGTACACTCGGTACACTATTATTAAGGATCATAATGTTGGTGTTAACATACATTGTGTGCCACTCATCTCAACACACACACATACAAAGCATTTCCTTTTTCCCAATGCTCAAGAAAGCACAAGTTTTTACCGTTGCTCAAACTCACATCGCACTCTCTTTTATTCTTTGGCATGGCACACAATAAGTGAATTGTTTTGGTGCTGCAAAATATATTCAATACCCATTCATGTGCGTACACTTGAGTGTGTGTGTGTGTGTGTTTTTGTTTAGATTTCACATAATATCCGACATAAATCCGGTGCAAAAGTATCAATTCACTTCGTCCATTTGATAATCAAATCGATGCAAAAATTCCCCAAAGCTAAACTCAATCCTCAAAAGAACCATTTTTTACGTGTGGAATTTTACTTCCTTCAACAAAAAAAAACATTGCTGCATTATAAAAACCATTTATTCCATATTCCATGTAAAAAGCACTCGGCCATTCGATTCAATCGATTTTGAATCTCAGTAAATTTTCAGTTGCTATCTGATATTTCTATTTCGGTGTTTGTAGGCAATACACTTTTTATGTGCTGACTCAAAATAAAAATAAAAACAAAAACATCAAAAGGAACATAAAACTGAGATTTAGAGTTAGATTTGATGGTCACCTATCATTACTTCAGAAATCGCGAAAAAACGAAATAGAAACGCTATTATTTTTCATACAATGTTGCTAGCTAGCTATTTATATCAGGCTGTGTGTTTGGTATGATTTCAGCAGGCACTGATATTTCTAGCGGAATAGCTATTCTGTGCCTACATGCTAGATATGTGTGCATAACAATAATGAATTTCATTTGCACTGCTTTCAGCACAACGTTATTCCTTGCAAAATACTATGCGTCACATATCTTGCATATAGACAGAAGCATAGCTATCCCGTTAGAAATATCAGTGCCTGCTGAAATCATACCGAACATACAGCCTGATTTATATCAGCTATTGCTATTTAACGCATCTCTTGACTCGGACGCTGTGTATGTTGGACATAACATTTTAAATCATTTCAAAACAATGACACCAATGTTATGTCGATTATACACATCGTCAAAGCGGGGAGATGCATTAAATAGCAGCTATTTTTATATCGCTATAGCAATAGCTAATATAAAAAGCTACATTAGATCATTAGAAATGATCTTTGCTCATCAAATTTATTGTTCCTAAAAGTATAAATCAAAAATAAGAAAGAAAGGTAAAAAAATAGTTAAAAATAGAATAGCATAACTATCACACAGGAAAAAAATGTGGTACATTTTTGATAGTACGTGGTTATCGTATAGTTTAATACAGAATGAGCTGAACACTTACCACATATATTATCAAAAATCTACCACATTTATTTTTTCTTTAGCGAATTATGAAGTTCAAACATATGTATTTGCTCCATAAGTGAAAGTCTGTTTACAAACAGACAACTCACACTTATTTACTGAAAACAAATTAAAAAATTCTCATTTGAATGAACCAAAATGCGCTATACGTGTGCTAATTCCATACAGATGTTCAATCAATATTATATGAAGCGTACGTAATTTTTTTGATTTCTATTTTTCTTTCAAAAGCGTTTATAATTTGCACAGTTTGAAAATGTTTACGAATGACAACCATATATATTTGCACCAATTTTAAACGAAGTGAAGATCTTGTTTCAAACAGTTAAGAACAGTGAGACGATTCAAATCGAACTGCTTCAAGTCAAATACTTAATTCAATTAAATTCTTTTCCACGAAATGCAATTAAAATGTTGTATACCTCGTCGAAGTTGTTTTTTCAAGCAAATTCTATTTTTTGGAATTATAAGTCTTGTATTCTTCGGGTATTGGTATCATAATGTAATTCGTGTTAAACTTACATCATTTACAAATAGCACTAATTGGTTTGAAAGTACGTCGCCCAAAACTATTCACAATGATTCATTAAAAATGAGTGCGCCCGAGTATCCATCAAAAACAGCAGTTAACAAAGGAGTTAAGCATTTAGATTATGAATCACAACAAAATGCGATTGATAAAGTAGAACACACAGAATTCGAATATAAAATACGTGAGGTGCTGAGCTCGACACCAAACTCTTTAGAAAATAAAGAGAAATATCATTTAAATCAAATGGATTCAGTAGTTGAAGAGACTCCATTTGCTGAAGAGAATGCAGTAATTGAAAGTACAATACTTGAAGAGAATCCAATAGTTGAAGATAGTATACCGATCGACGAGTCAAATGAAAATTCTAAAGGATATTAAACGTGAAGCGTTTCAGATATCAACAATTTATTTCACGATTGACTGATGGCAGCAAGTAATTTAATATGTTTAAATAATTTTAAAATATTTTATTCTCGAACATGAACTTCTTTTAATTTTTTTAAGGGTTGCATACACATCAATATATTTATCATGGTAATTGGATTTTATTGAACGACAAACATGTAAATCAAATGGGAAAAAATGTCAGATTTATCGTGAAGACGGTCCAAAATAATGTATGAAATCGCTACTGTATTCCACCAATCTTACAATTTATAAATAAACCTTTTTCAAACAACATGAACCGAAATGACAGTTATTATATTATAGGCTGACAACCTGAGATAATGTGAAACATGTTCTATTTGCATACTTCACCAACGTCACCAACTGTTCAAATATTTAATGTTGATATCAACTTAGATTCAGTCGTATTTCAGTCGTATTTCAATCATATACATCACGCCATCGTTTTTTTTTTAAATCCAAACCGATTTAAGTTTGCTTACGGTCAACATAGCGATGAATTAAAAAAAAGTCATAAAACTCATGTGTGTACGTGTGAATTGGAAAAGTTCACATCAAAAGATCTATCATTTAGATGTCGACACAAATACATCAATATTCCAAAAATTCTGGTATGTATTCTGCAGTGCAAGAATCAAAGAATCGATGTAGGCCAAAAAATTGCATTATTCCGAATCTGTTCTTCACTATCACGTCATATTTGACATCATAAATATAATTCGTAATTTATGTGGTGCATGTCCGAGTGTGTGATGGTCGTTCGTTACCACACTGAATGACCTTGATTGGTTGATGAAAAATGCAATTTTACGATGGTTCAACTGTCGATTTAATCCTGTTGTAATTTGCATTCGTAAGCGATGCATGTCCTCAATTCCATCCATCTTTTTCTCGACAACCTTTTTTGTGTTGCCGCTTGGTTTTGAAATGCAGAAAAGTAATGTGGAAAAATGAGACATTGCAAAAAGCCATATAGAATGTCGAGCCACATTTCCATTCGAAGTATTTTTTTTTTTTCATTTCATTCACGTTGTTATTGTTGTTGTTCTTCACCTCTTTCGCTTTCTTTACGGATATCGCATTTCGTTTACACTGAGCACATAATAACGAGCGCCTTGATTCACATGCTGATGATATAAACATTACAGCACAGTAATTGCTTGATATATGTATGTATGCGGTGTGTGGTGCTAGCGAATGCATGTGGCATTTAGTGATGGAAGCCAGAACTTGTCTTTATGCTTTTATAATCGATCCAATACAAAATTGGTTTAATTAAATGGAAAATGTAATCGCGCAGAAAACAGCAAGATTAAAGAATTAAATTTTGTAAAATCCGTTTATATCCGTGCGCGTTAGTTCTACCGCATAAAATGGCACTAGTTGTAGTTTCTTAGTTGGTTGCATTTGATATTGGTGTTGCTTCGGTGTCACACACTTGTAACGGCATTGTTTTTTCTATATGCAATGTGTGTGTGTATGCGGGAGAACGAATCGCTTACGTTGTCATTTCATTTCATTTTGAACGTAAAACAATTTTTATGTCTTTTGAGTCAATGTTTCCTTTAATCATTACCTATTTCCGATGTTGCTTTCGATTTGACGACGATGCAATATAAAACAAGGAATACGGTGCACTGATTGTATTTATACGACTTTTTTGTGTCTCTTTCTTTCCAATAAAAGAACAAGTGAAAAACAAATCCACCGCAATTGCTAACACCGTTCATCCGTTCAAGCATTCTGCATTCAGATACACAGAAGAAGAAGAAGAAAGTTAAGCGTGTATTGTCTTTGACAACGTAATCTCATTTTAGTTTGTGGTGTAAGCATTCAGGTTTCCAAAATCCTGTGCACCTAACAATCGAAAACGTTTGCTTTCGCTTCTCGAACGTACGTACACATCGTTTTGTTGCAGGTTTATATACACAAAAATTGGATTGAAATTTTCTCTTGTTTTTCAATGAAATATTCTCTCAGTTTACAATCGCACATTTGCCTCATGTTCATTTCGAGATATTTATGTCTCGCTTATTTCCCATCATTCGATAAGCATGCACATCGCAAACACGTTTTACATTGAATAAAAATAATAGAAAATGGAAATTGTGTATTTGTGTATCGGTTCAAATTTGATTTAGTTGGTTATTGTTGTCCTGTTTTTGCTCTCAACCCAATCGATTCTTTTTTCATTGTCTGTTTTTTTTTCACTTCTTCGCAATGTATGTATGCACATCGTTGAGTTCCGAGATGAACATTTTACTCAAGACCAATGCGGATTTGTATGCATGTTTTGTAGCAATTTAAAGTATATGCACTAGAAAAAACGACCGAAATCCAATTTTTTCACTCTGCAGATATGTATGTCTCGATTTGTTGAACGAATTTGGCTGGTACACTACCATAGACTATATAGCGTCTACCATAGAAAGGGTAATTTTATTCAAACATAGAAAATATTTAAAATGCACGAATCTTTGGCACCAATGCCACACCATCGCTTTTTTGACACCAATAAAAATGAATGGAAATGGTTTATTTACGCTTGTGTTCCGAGTATTTAGTAATAAATCACTAGACTCACTCAAGTGAACGCATCAATAACCTTGAATTTACTAATGTATAACAATTTACACTCCATCGGGTGATTACTCAATTCATGCGGTTATCGCATATTTAATACTCTCATAGGAAGAAACCCTCACGCTCAAAAAAATGTAAGAAACATCGAATCTACGTCGAAAAAAAACTTGAATGGTTTTTTTAAACATGTGCGACGAAGTTTCAATGTGTTTTACACAAAAGCGATAGATATCTATACCTATTCGTTTTTGCCTCTTCCCCATTGAGAACAAGTCAAATGAAGTGTATTTTACGTTGGGGTACGATATCTGATTTTTTTTTTAATTTCTGAATAATGCAATGCAACAAAGAAAAAAAAAACAAAAAAGTCTTTGACTTAGCTAGCTAAAAATCGTTATTTGTAAGCGGAAATGCACAATGAAATAGGAAATAATGAATATCTTATAGTTTTTAAAAGCTGTGTTTGAAAATTATTTTGTATTAGTAGCAGCACACCTCTCCTCAAGTAGAGTGTAAAAAAGTTTCCTTTTGACATTTGACTCTGTGTTATTTAAATGTGAATGGTAGCGCCACACATTCTTCTTTCATGTAAATTCTACAACAATATAATAGATCATTTGTTGTGTAGCGATTCCAATCGTCGCCGATTTTTTCAACTTTCATCGAATTTTAAGGCCATTTTTTACGTAGGTCTTTGAAACGATCTTTTAATATTTACCGGAAATTCTAAGAATAATGGTAACTGACTTTTCGTCGATCACAAGAGAGAATATAGATTCAGTGCGTTTAATAATTGATTGCTCCAATCTCGGAATCCAATTTTACATAGTTTGAATCTAACTGATAGGAATACAGCATGACTATACACAGTGCACACGCATGCATGTGAACTAGTTCTCATTCATTTCAATTTTCGGTTCTTTTCAAATAATTGACAGTGGATGCATTCGATGTGATGTTGGTATGTAGTTTTCCTACTTGTCAAAATAGTGGTACGCGGGGGCTCTTCAATATTACCGAATCGGTTTGTTTATATGTCAGCGATGCGGAATACTACCAATTGATTTTCGTTTTTCCTACATCTCGTATTCTCGCTATTTCTCTCAGCCATCATTTGATTGGAAATGAACAAAGTGGCATGTGAATGAAAATCAATGTAACCAGTTTAGATTTTAATTGGATTTGTAACATTTAATCACACTCCATTCAATCAAACAACTATTCCTGCATGAATCCACAGTTACAAAAACGTTTCATCTTCCCCCACAGTAATCAAACATCTGTTGATGGTCGTTCTAACGAAATTGAGAAATTGGATTTTTTTTTTTTTAAATGATGGTTCATGAATTGATATTTCAAATTGGCTACCATGGCAATTCCATTTGTATAACCCAATTTATCATTACCTATAAATACGGTCTAATAATAAATTTAACCACCACGTTATGTTTTGGAAGCGCGCATTTCATGTGAGAATAATTTAGATGATCTTCTTGACAACAGCAAATGTATTGAGATGTCGTTCGAGATGATTCATGCCAAATGATGGTCAATAAACAGCGACACTAAGCTGCCATAATGGTAATCCTTAGTCTGGTTCTGTCTCTCTTCGTGCAACAAAGCAGCTTTGCCGATAATGCACAAACTCGTTTAAAATTACATAGACAATTTATCAATGAGCTGACAATAAAACAATAAAAACGATTATTTTGGCAAATCAATTGAGTTAATTTTGTTGTGCATGGAACAGATACGACTTTTTTCTTATTGTTTCTCACTCGCGCTCTCATTTATTTCAATTCAAGCACCAATATTTCAATCTATCCGCATTTTGGTTGTATCAAAATGATACTATCGTGCGCTCCACATTTGTGATTGGGATGTGCTGCATTGACACTTGCTTCGCTATGCTATGGAACACACTACTGTACATTTTATTGATTGATCGAATAAAAAAACACGCTTGAGAGTGAAACGAAAAATGTATAACGGACGCGAAAAAATTATTCAGTGAAAAAAAAAACCAATCGGTCATTATCTCGTTATTTCAGGACTACATAAAATTCGTCATAGTAATTTCACAAATGAACTAACTATTCGATTATTTCAGCCCAAATCCAAAACGGTTACATTTTTTCCAATTCTTTTTTTTCGTATTTTTGAACTGGAGAAAGGTGGTTTTATGGAGAAAATGGAATGGAAGTGCGCAAGCTTGAGTTTCAAAGCCGATGCCGCCACCAAAAGATTCCCACTTTCCAAATGAAACAACACTGTTGCTCCAAGTAGCTTATGTAATATGAAATGTCGTAGCAAAAAGCTCCCTTTTTCATTTGTGATATAGCTAAAGATACCTACAGCTAATTTATTTGACTACACCGGAGGGACAACATTACATGTTCAACTATATGAGAACGGGTTGTTAATAAACTGTGACCATCATTTTTTTCTTCATAAATTGAATTTTTCAATAATACACCATCATTTCATTCCTTTTCTCTCGTCAATTTTTGAATTTACTTATATTATGCTTCAGCCCATAAAGGACCTTTTTTTCACCGGATAAAGAACTACATATACACATATTTATAAAATGCGGCGAAATTTCACCAAAAAATAATTGTTATTACCCTACCTGCGTGCACACTTAAAAACAACCAAGAAATGCTTATGTTTATTTAATTTGGACCGTTTTCC